TCCTCCTCCGCCCATCTCCACTCCCTTCAATTTCTTGAATATGACTTACTTAAGTGGTGTGCATCTTTTTTTTCTTTCCCTGACAAAAATTGCACTGCTATTACTACTATTTTTGTGACTTTTACTTACCATTGCTACATGCCTTAACGAATGACAACCTAGAATTTGCAATTAGGGAAATCGTGTTTTGACATTTTTTTTAAATCAAGTCTTGAGCATTCAAAAATGGGTTCTTGACAAACTAGAAGTGACTGACACCGCACCACTGTCACTAAAACATTTTCTCTGAGGTGAGTGCACTTCTCTGCCTATTTGTCTGTCAGAAATGAGAGTGTAATCATATATAATGGAGACTTGAACATTTTACACGTGCACCCGTTCTCCACAATATGTCCAGGCATGCACGTGTATCTGCACTTCCTAGAAATCCAATTACATCCATGAGTGGAGGTCGGCGGAGGGAACATGCACATAATGTACCAATATAACAGTCAGACAGTCATTCATAAGCCCAATAACAGCCTGGCTCTCTAAACATTTCACAGTTGATGTTCACATGTTCATGTCTCATTATGTCGAATGATAGGACACGCTCCACAGCAGCTTGGCATATATGATCATATAATTGTAATGTTTTAAGGCTTTTTGGTAGATTAAATTCAGTATAAATTAACATAATGGGTTACAGGGAGGAGGTTTGGACACCATGTATTCAAACAAGGTCATGAATAGATAGATAATGGTAGTAAAGGTTAGATAAGTCTATAATAACCTACCGGCACAGGGGGAAATTGGACAAAAGGCTGCAGTGAGCACAATGATTAATTGATGATTCTGGGTGGAGGTTCATTATTGTGTCTACACTTTCAATGACAAAACACACTCTACCTTTCTGTGTCTCGCTCAGCCATCCAAGTGGTCTCATGTAAGAAGACAATAGTATATCCTCTCCTTATAAATCACTGATCAGTCGATCTAAGGACTGCACACACTGTACTGTACTTATGCTGTGCTGCTGAAGAACCACAGAGGAGAACAATTGACCAAAGTTAGAGGGAGAAATTAAGAGGAAAAATGAGACTTGAAGACTTTATCAGTTTCTGCTGTACAATGTTCTGTGTTCTTAAAGCTTATCAATATTTTTATATTTGCAGTTCAAATGACTTTGTAATGTGAAAGCGTTAGCCGTGATGCACTCAAACCAATCATTTTGATTGAAAAACGTATCAATATATTCCGTTTCACTCTGTAATGTAATAGTGGATATCACAAATGGTTTTACTGATTTATATCATTTTGATCAGCTCAGTAAGCGATCGTATCCCTGTTCAAAATGCTGCTCCAACTGTCGCGTTCAGTTCAGTGCAAAAATAAGCCAGTTAAGTTAAATTAATAGACTTATCACATGATGTTGTGTTTGTGGCTTTCTGGGTCTTTCAATAAGCATTTAACTTGCATCATGACTGAGATGACAATAGCGCTTTCAAAAATCAAATAATGCTGCTTAAACACTCCATAATCAAAACTCTCTTGTGTAAATTAGTTATTTCAAGTAAACTGTAATGAAAAACTAAAGAAAAGTGGAGAATCATGTGCAACGTAGTGCTATATATTGATATTCATTCATGTGTGCAGATAAATTACACGGTAATACTGTTCATTCACAGTGTTTACACTAGATAAAAGTAGTACGCCAGAGAGAAGACACAATTGTTTTTATGGATGTGGAGAAAAATAAAGAAATAAAATGAGATCCATGTGTTGTTGCACACCACCACTCCCTCTCAGTCCATCCACCGATCCCTCCGTCTCTTTTTAGATTTTCTTCTTCTTTCTCCTCTCCGACTTCTCAAAAGTCTCTCCTTTGTATCTTCCTTTCCACTGTCACCCTGTCATCACCCTGTCTCTCTCCGCTCCTCAGCTAGCCGATCCATTGCACACTGAAGGTTTGCGCCTGTGCTATAGCTCTGAGCTAAAGTTTCAACTCAGAACAACAAAGGAGATGATGGCGAGGAAGGAAAAAGACAGTCTTGGAGAAAAATATACCTTCCTTCCTTCCTGAAAAAAAGAGCGAGGAGAGATACTGAAATGGTATTCTATAAAGCAAACTGTAGACACACGCACATATATAAATATATATGCCAGAGGATTTCTTTTCCAAGGTACACTCTTATCTGTTCCTCTGCACTTTCTTGGCAGCTTTCCTCCTGCTTTTGCTTTGTCTCTGTTGCCTCTTTATTTATCCTCTTCTCTTTTGTGCTAACCACAATAATTTCTCAGGGGATTCCTGTGAGCCCACTACACTAGTGTCCAAAACAACACACATTAATAATTTGCCCAGGGACCGGGTAATGATACTGTACAAACACACACACATACATGAACACATTAAGATGAATAGACGGCCTACTGGGTCCCTCTGTAGTAAGCAGAAGTTCCTCAAGTCCAACAGTAAAGCGGGATGTGTGCGCAAAAACAAGAAAGATGGTGAATGGAGAGGGAGGGAAAAGACATCAAAGAATAATGTGTGTTTGTGTGACTGAAGGTTCAGCAGTTCCTCGGGCTTTGCCATCTTTTAAAATTTCAAACCATTCGGCACTCAGCCTCACTCTTCAGTCTGATTCAGTAAATAAAGGTTTATATTTTATTGACCTGTGGACATTTTTCATCATTAGGATTCCAGCGGTTTCATCAATAAACAAATAAGACTGTGATATGCTTATTTAGGTCCCGACACATCAGAAACAATTTATGAACTATGAACCATGAAGGGCTTTGGTTTTGCAGCAGACAGTGTGAATATACAATATGAAGGTCAATTGATATGTGTGTGGACAGGCTCGATACAGTCAACATATGCAAGGTCCGGGCTTTATTTTCTCACAGGGATCAAGGCCTTGCATAGTCGGAACGTCAATGATCACAAACACAAACACAGCCTCATTGATTCAGATTGATCTGTCACATCACACCAAGGCTGTGAGGGCTGGCGGAGGCAGCGTTGAACTGACACAAGTTACTCACAGCGTAACACAGCACGGCTTGTTATATGAGAGCTACTGTCAATGATTTTCATTAAGGTTTAATCCAATTATTATTTTTGTTTCAATGATTTATTGTTTAGTTCCCAGAGACCAAGGTAATAGCTACAATATATTATTAGTTTGAGCAGCAGTTCAAATCCCAAAAATATTAAATTTCAAAGGCATTGATGGTCCCCAGAGGATCCTCCTGTTTAGCATCTCCAGCATGTACAATTTTTCACTTATGCAGTGAAATATTTTGACTTCTACTGGAAAGATTGGCACAAAATCAGGTACAGATGTTTGTGATCATCTGACTTTTACGTCTTTTGCACAAAAGCACGTTGGTTCAGAGTGAAATGCTTTAAAAATAACTATTGGTCAGACTGCCATGAAATTTGTTTCAGACATTCATAGTCTCACAGGAACTATTGACAGTAATAACTGCATTTACTTTTAAGTAATTCACTTTTCATCCAGCTCCATCAAATACTTTGGTTCAAGACAAAACATCGGCAAAACTAATGAGGTTCCCATCAGCCTGAGCTGTACATCTGTATTTACTGCTAATTAGCAAAAGTTAACATTCTGCCACACTAAACCAAGATGGAGACCATGGTAAGCATAATACTTTACCTGCCACAGATCAGCAGGTTAACATTGTCACTGTGTTAGCATTCAGCTCAAAAGTATGCTAACCCTAAGGACAGACTCGCAGATCAGATCAATCATGGCTTGTCTGGAACAAATTCATCTCTCGTCAAAATGGTTGTCGATTTCCAGGTGCTTGACTAATCCACTAATTGACCAGTGGTTTCAAAACTTTAAACATTATATATTGGATGACTAACAAAAGTAAAACTAACAAAACCAAATGAGAATTATATAAACACAGATTTTCATAAATGAGCCTTGCTGGGGTTTTTGTTCATTAATGCTAAAAGGGAACACTTGAGTGTGCATTGAAATACTTTAAGGTTCAGTGTTGCAGTATTCGTCTGTTGATAGTAATTAGCTGTTATGCATCTGAGCTTTGTGTTGAACACGTCTTACTATATTAAAAACAAAATCCAGCATGATACTCATTTAAGCAGCACTAACAAAGCTAGCTAAGGTGACCGAAAAAAAGATTCATCAAAAGAAGAAAAGAGGTAAAAAATAATTAACTCTTTAATAAAAAATACATTTATAAATTCGGCAGCATGAACTTCTCTTGAACAGTTCCATCAACCCAGGAGGAGAGAAACAATGAAAACCAGCTGTACAGTAGGCATTTAAAATAAACCACATCCTGGGAAGCAAACACGTACAAATGAGGAAGAAATGGCGAGTTGGTTTGAAGGAAAAACAGCAAAAACAATATAAATGACTCTGAAATAACAGAGTGAGTTTCTGAAGAAACTTATCTGGCAAACAAAGACCAAACAGAACTGAACAGAGTTTTTCTAACATCAGTGTCAACACCACAACAGGGCAGTGTTGCTTTGGGTTGATCATAACACCACAAGGTTCAGTCCTTCTAATACAACTACAGCAGCTTGGTATAAAGACAAACAACACATGGACAGACTGTGGAGGCAGCCCTCACATCAACGTGTCCTTATGCACTGGTTTCCAGTCAGCGTTACCACCACACATACCAGAGGGAAAATGGCTAAACTGATTCTGGATCAGTGTTCAAGGACATCTTCATCCTACTCTGGGGAGGAGTCACCAAACACTTTATACTGAAAACAGTGTTTCATGTGCATTTAATTACTAGGATACAATATGACAGGGATGAAAGCTCAATTATTTTCACAACTGGATGGCACTGATGGATGGACAGACTGGGAGGTCACAGGTTCTACAGCAGCCTTATTGCACACAGGAGAAAGCTTTGACTGGAGGTTGTTTTTCTAAAATCAGTCCTGTACATCCTTTATAAATATGCTTTTTTCTTTCTTTCTTTTTTTTTTTTTTTTTTTTTTTTTTTTTTAAAGCCTCTTAATTTACTTAGGCAGATAGCAGGTTTGTTGTGGCTCCATATTAGCTTTTTCAGAGGCCATTTGAAGTTTCTGCCTAAACAGATTGTGGTCAGACGTGTCACATACTGGGGGGGTTTGTGGACATATGGAGGGGTTGGTTGGTTTGGAGCAAAGCCAAGGCGCACATGTGGACAAGGACATTTATATTGTAATTAAATAGATGGGTACCAGTTGGCAAAAAGTTATTTTTTCCGCTATAGAGAGAAGCATCGTGTGGATCATATGTGTTGACTGTCATCGACTGAGGAGTGTTTTTTGACCACATTAAAGTGAATGTTAGAGGTCGAAGCATGTGGAATGCCTTTTATTTCCCCCGTTGTCATTATAGTCCTCAAACATTAAGTGTATCTGAAATAAAAAAAACAGGACAGGCCCAAAAGTTTCCCATGTTGACTGAGTTTTAAACCGTTCATTGCTCAGGGCTCTACTGTGACAATACAGTCACAAAATGTATTGTCACGTCCAGCAGTGAGTTCACCCAGAGCTGACACGTCCTAGAAGTTTCTAAATTATTGCCCCTAAAGCTGCTGACCAAAATATCACAGTTGTGGTTTTAAGTGATGATTATGGGACAGGATCTGTGCCTTGGGGTAAATTTCAATACGTTGCTGTTATTAGCTGCCAACGTAGTCTGGGTGCATGCAGAAAATACCAAGCTGGCAGGAGTTTTCAGCTGATGCACAGGAGTCTGTGTGGGCAAAATGCTTAGAGGGACAGAATGAGGAGAGACTGTATCTGGGGTGAGGGAAGATTTCACTGATTGGGTGGCCTTTCTTTTTTCTTCATCCACATATGGCAAAAGTCATAGATCAGGGGCCGGTTGCACAAAGATACTGTAGCGTGGTCTAATGTTTTAGCTCTTAGATTAGTCTGGTGCATTTTAGACTGTTTAACTGCAATAAAACTGACTTTTTAAAGCCTAAAAACTTTATGCCGCCCAACCTCCAAGCTAACTCAGAACGGAGAGCCATGTCAATCAGTGACAACTGCTGACAGGGAAAACATGGCTCACAATTTGCAGTTTGTTAACAATGTTGTGGAGTGAGTTTTTGCAGACCACAGTTAACACATTGTGCTGTGATAACGTTGGTTGTTTTAATTTGCCCAAGGAAAGTACCCTCAGTGTGACTGACTGAGTCGTGTCATCAAGATACAAAGAAACCTCGGCTGAGCTGAGTTTTTATTCTACTGGAGGTTTTTTGTATTGTCACATTCTTTGCTGAATTTTCCAAGTGAAATGTTTGTGTAACAGTTGAATTCTTCCAGACAGCTAACATTTTAAGTTGGAGTGAAGGGAACCTAGCAGTTTGACACAGTCGCTCGTGTTTCAGTTTGAAAAAAGCCTTGTTTACCCAGAATTTACCCAGAATTCATGGCAAACAAATCCTATTGTAGACAGTCAAGAACTAGACAGCTTTGTGCAATAAATGAATTTAAATGAATTCTATCCGAAGTCTGACTATTACTTTGAGTAGTTATATAGTCAAAGTCTATCTTTGTGAAACTGGCCCCAGTATTTCACTTAAGGGGACAGAGTACATTTATTTGAAGGAGGGCAGTCTTCTCTTGTCCCTAAGCACTGTGTTAATATATTAAAATAATATACCAGGATTTTGTTCACAAATACATAAATGTTTCCCCATAAAGAGTATATTGTTTATACCCTCTGAATATACATTAGACAGTTTTGTAGGTTTTAAAAAGGAGTGAGCTTTCGAAAAACCACTTCTGTGATCTTCTGTTGATTCAGGTCGACACCGGACTGGTTTAACCTTTGACCCTTAGCACAGAGGAGGCAGCACTGCATTGATACTAACTTCCCTCATTAAACTATAAAATGCACATTTTCCCTGGACTCCACAGACTTTCAGCAGCAAACAATCTTCACAATCACATCCCCACACCTCTTAATAACAGTCAACAGGCAAAATGATTTCCTGTGAAATACAGCCTGGAAAGCCAGTTAAATATTAGCTTTGTGTTTTGTTGTGCATGGGTGTTGCAGAGGTAAAATATGATTTCCTTTTAACTGCTCATGAAAACAATTTCTTCAAGATCCTACAGCTGCAATACAAGGTGTTAGCCTCTCATGACCTAAATGTACAAACACTGTACAGAAGTTAGGTTCAGTTCTGACAGATCAGTAAATGAGATACCAATTGTCAGTCGGACTGTACAAGCTCTACAATACCTTCTCAGAAAGTGCTGCTGTGTATATTGTGCTAATCATTTTGGCCTCTTCAGGTTCACTTCCTGACTGTTTAATGACATTAACAAAAGAGAAGATTAAAGTATCTCTCTGCTGTTGGTCGACAGTGTAACTGCGGCAGTGACGATACCAGTAAGAGGATCTGACGGTATGCTAGCACCAGAATCTGTGACAGATCTGTTTGAGTGACGTAGTTTGGGCTGACCCAGTGGTCCTGAACATACAAGTGGAGTCTTTTTTTGCTTTTTAACAAATCTGAAAAGATGGTGGATGGCAGTCTATAGTTTCATAATAAGTGAAACAATGACACATCTTTCAGACCAAAGTCAAAGTACAACCCAAAGTCTTTTTTTTTTTTTGCCCTCAGGCTAAATTCCTGTTTCCATAGTGAGTCTGAATGGAGAAACAATGAAGTTTGGTAGTTCGTGCTAGTTCAGTGAAAACGTGTTTGTTCTTCCGTACTCAAATTACAGTCTTGTGATTGGAAGTGTGAGTGAAGCATCGACGAGAAAGGGTCAGGAGCAGATTCATCTCCTCTGATGATATTTTACTGAGGATGAAGTTCCAATCAGAGCTCAGCAGCTTCACATTTCTGTCACCGTCTGCAAATATAAAGAAGAATTAGATTAGATTGAGAATATGCTAAATCCTACTAAATGAACTTCAATGATATTTACACTGATTTGCAAGAGCAGCTTCTACTTTTGGGGCTTTTAAGGTGAGATAAACATGAGATTGTTTGGAGTATTAAAAATCATTTCCAACCTTTTTTTTTTATAGATCACTTCAACGAAGCAGAAAACTTTCTCAGTCTAGCAGCCAAATATTATGCCTCATTAACAAAGCACACCAGTCCTCCCATTGCATCACACTGCTGCCTGTCTAGCTGCTGTTTATGTTTGTGTGGTAATTTTATTTTTGGAGTAGGGAAAACATTGGAGGTAGATTTTAATGGAATGTTTTCTGAAAACAGATGTGACAAATCTGACCTCATGTGGGGGGCGAGGTTCACAGCGTGCTGCAGCAAGCTTTACCGTCACAATGACACACAAAATGTCACAGATGCAAGATCAAACATTGGGACCAAGTTTTAAATATAGATCTGAGGCTCTGGATGTTATATAAAGTGACAGAGCTAAATTATTAAGTGAAATGGACAGATGGACAGTCACTGCTGGACAGTGATAGGATAGTACAGTCCATTAAAAGTTCTGTGTGGGATGTCGTGACCTTTAATTCGGGAAACACTACTTTAGGATACAGTTCTGTACCTCTGCCTTGTTGTGGATCCATAGTTATCTAACATCTGAGTGCTGGCCACCTCCAGGTTCCAGTCACACATCTCCAGCAGCTTTAGACACTCGGACCTGCTCCTCAGACCCAAACAGAACAACTGCTCCACCTGCAGAGACGAGCAAAGATCAAACAGTCGAACAAAGAAGCCCGGAGTGAGGGATGGGGCAGCAACGAGAGGGAATGGGGAAATAAAGCAGGGTCACAGGGTCGGGTACTGTGAAGGAAGGAATTGCAGACATCATTTTTTTTCTACCTCTTGTGAGTGTTATTGCAGCAGGAAGCATATTGTAAAATTATTTCAGTCTTAATACGAGCTCATTGGATTGCATTTTTCTTTCTCGTCTAAACTTTTCCACCACTATCAAGGAGCAGTCAAGTGTTCCCTTGTGCCCACTGCCATCCAAACACATCTTCCATCCTCCCACTGAGGTGCTGAGGACTTGCTGGAGACACATCAGTGAGTACATATGCCTTTTATTTATAGCCAGCTCATTGCAGCAGTAATGACCTGATTTTCCCTTAAGGCTCAACAAAGTTGCTGCTATCATATCCTGATATGAAGTAAGGATGACATTAAGCAGCCGTGAATGACTACCTGTTTGCGGTTACATGCTGTACATAAACAAACTTATTACAGAAAAAGCCTCGAGGCCTGACCTCAGACGCTGTGAGCTGGGTCTCTAAGGATGGTTCTGCAGCATAGCAGTGTTTACCACTGAGGTCTCTGGTTCCCTTTTAATAATTGTGATGCTGCAGCATAATGATAAACTTCATGTCATCTTTATTTTGCTGGACTGGAACTAGGGGATGTTTGTGAAAGTGTGAAAGTACCTTGGAGAATTGCTGCTGTTTTAAAGGCAAACGTTTGTAGCACAAAATATTGATTTGACTTAATTTTTTTCTGTTTTCTGCGCTTTGCATTAAGTTAATCGATAAATAATAAACACTCAGAATGATTTTTGAAAGCATCCTCACTTTACTTTTGGTGCCTGAATGAAACACTTTGTTCATAGTGCTGATAAAGGATCTCACCTTTAGGTAATGCACAGCTTTCTGGACATTCCAGTTGTGGTTCTGGAGAGCAGCGTGACACTCCTCTATCGTCACACCATGAACTGCCTCCTGCACCTGAATCATACAACAACAACAACAACAACAACAGTGTATGTCTCTGCAACATCCAACAGCACTGCCGCTGCCTCTGATTCCTCATTCCTGCTGATGGATCTCAGTGTCACCCTCAACATAAACACCTGCACACACCACTGTGTCCTTCCCTTATGGTGAAATCATCAGTATCAACTTGGCATTAATACTTCACGTACAGATTCTTTCAAAAACTGACAATCGAGTAATATCTTTTGGCACTTACTGGAGCTCCTCTGTTTACTTTTAGCTTCACCTGAAGAAGCCTTTGATAAGAATTGTTAAAGTGCTGAGATTTAAGCATCACTGGATTCGATGAGGCTTTCTGTACAGTCCCCAGTCTCTTCACAAACTGAATTAAGTTTGTTTGAATTCTACTAATTATGTTTATCCAAATCCACTTTGAGCTAACTCTAATTTCAGCAATGTAACCCTGACAGTGTTCCTGAGTGTGACGGGAATTTCTAGCAGCAGACATGGATTTCATATCAATATTTTAATGCATCAATATTTCTTTTCTACTTGTATAAATGTGATATTTCATTGATACCTATACTAACAATATTACCACATCACCTCCAACTCCTTCTTCTACTCATGTTTGAACAACCACAGTCAGTGAACTCCTCTGCAGTACAGGATATATATATTCCCACTGCAGCTAGAGTGCAGCCACTGATCTCAGTATCCACTACAAAACGCCAAGTGCCTGATCAATGTAGAGCCTGTAGAATTCGCAGTGATTCTGACTCCAGTTCAATCAGGTTCAATCGGTGTCAGAATCAATTGGCCAGCTAACTAAAGAACTAATCAAACTCTGGTTCCTCATCAATTCAATTCTCAGCAAAAAGTAATATGGCCTTTGTCTCCACAGAACACCGTCTTATCTTTACATATGTTATGAAAAGTGTTTGTATGCTACCAAGTTTTAAACTCAAAAGATATTCAAATGGAACTTCCTGTTTAATTAGTATGATTTATTGGCTTTTATAAGTTCAGCTCCAATTTGAAAACCGTATTTTACTGTTACACATCAATCATAACTGAACAGGGAGGTAATCTGTTTAATTATAACAGATATGAGCAATTAAACATGTTCCAGCGACTTCAAATCGCTCACTTCTTCTCTAAGTGTTGGAGAGACACACACACACACACACACACACACACACACACACACACACACACACACACACACACACACACACACACACACACACACACACTTCCCTACAGACTATGGCCTGTGTGGACAACCTATAAAAAATTACCTTCGGCTGCCCCCTTGTGTTCAGTGTATGAGCAAATGTAATATACTGTACGCAATGACATATAGTACGTCCTGTATGAACATATTTATTTCGTTTTTTGTGTTTTTTTCCAAATTAAATTTAAATGCTACATTAACTGTCACTCTTGAAAGTGCAAGTTTGGACTGAGAGGAGTCAAGTAAGCCATACATCAAACATACACTCTGTTACATCACATTTAAAGTCTTATTACTTCTTAGACCAATGCTACTGGATTACCCTGAACATTGCACTGATATTTTAGCTCACAGCTGTGTGATAAAGTCTTAATCTCATAATAATGGAACCACACGCTCTCACACTAATGGTAGAGAACTAAGGACGAATGGCTCTCTGTTTAAGGACTGTACTTTTTATCTAATTTACAGAAAGTATTCAAAGTAGCTTTAAGGAGGACATGAGGTCAACTATATATTACAGATAAACCGTCACACTGCAGGGGTTTGACATCCATCACGGGAGAGGAAGTGAGCAAGCTGAGCTCTTAAATTACTGAAGCAATAAACAATAACTTTCAGCACATGATTTATCAATAGAGAAGTTGCGAAAGGAAGTCCCAGTATCTCTGACCTTACCATTCTGACCCTGTCAGCTGAGTTCCCTCCTCCGTCTGTCCTGGTGCAGGACGCAGTGACCACCGGTGCCGTCAGCCCGTCTGAGCAGACGCGAGGGAAACTAACTGATGTCTTCATCCCTGACCGTGGTCCACCCAGACTGCTGTTATTGTTGGAGGAGAAATTAGCCTTCAGCTCGCCCGGATGGACGAGACCCTGTCCTTGGGCATGTCCCTGGACAGTCTGGCTGCTGACCACCATTGGTCTGACGGTGGCGGTGTTAGCTTGCCGTACATGCCTCTCCTCCACACTGCTGGCAGGAAGACTCTCTGCCTCCCTGAAGAAGCGGTCGTATCGGTCAAGGTATGGCGGTCTCTCCGGCAGAAGGTAATAGTGGGTATTACTGACTTTACGTCCATCGCGTACAATGGGGAGGATACAGGGGCCCTTACTGGTGGGGTCCTTTCCCTGCCCCTGGGCCTGGATCACTTTGGGTGCAGCATATTTAGGATCTGAGGCAAAGCTGTGTGTGGTAGGCATGAGTTTACCTGGAGAGGTGGAGAGGTAGGAGCCGTAGGTGTGTGTGGGGGGGCAGGAGGTAAGGGGGGCCTGCATGGTGGTGGGGCTGACAGAGTAGACTCTCTGCTGAGGGGAGCCCACTACCAGGCCCATGGGGCTAGGAGTCCTGGAGTCTGACTGGGACAAAGGATCCCTTGGAGGGATCTGAGGTGGTCGGTTCTGGTCTGGGCCTGAAACATCCTCTGTGGTGTCTGCAGGCGTCGGGGACAGAGAGAGATCCCTTGACCAGCGAGCAGATGTGTAGTCGCCCCTTTTTATAGGGCGAGGGGGGATGGGGACACGTGGGGGGATCTGGGGTTTGTCTTCATTGGAGCAGAGGACATTCTGCTCCTGGGTCTGAAGGGTCTGAGGAAACGAAGATGAGGTTTGGGATGGCGAGCTTGACGGAGCAGCGCTCACCGTCGGTACGTTGAGCCTCCTCATGCACTCTTGCTGGAGTTCTTGGAAGATCTCTGCAGACTGGGAGAAAGATGTGGACAGGCAGTGGCCCTGCTTGCTGGGAAGAAAGAGGTTATCCTCCAGGCCTGGTCTGTCTGGACCCCTGGAGACAAGAGCCTCAACCTGCACCTTGTGTCCAGAGGAGAGAGCCTCGTCAGCCTCGTCTGGGTTACAGACCTCACTCTGCTCATCTTCATGCTGCTGCTCTGAGCTGTTGATGGAGCTCACCTATGTGAGGAAAAAAATGAACAACTTCAATACACTCTGCCATGGAACCAGGTGATGACAGAACTGGAGACAAACGTTCTCATTTCCATTAAAATTTGGCATAGTGTCAAATATGCTGTATCACCTCCTACCGTACCTCCATATCATCTTCATCTTGGGCTACATCATCGTAGGCTGGGGGTGGGGGTAATGGTCGTGCATCCCAGTCCACCACTGGTGTGGGGTGAAGGGGACGGGGCAGCGATCTGGATGGACTCTGAGGAGGAGTCCGGTCCAGGATGTTCTCTGCTTCCAAAGCCAGCTTCGCCAGCGAGGGGATCTGAATTTCAACAACGGGGGAGGGGGAGGGCGTGGGTGGGGGGAACTCCTCCCCAAAGTCAATGAGGGACACTTCACTGTTGGGGTTGTAGCCTGAGCCTGAAGTCCGGCTACTCCCCTGTTTGGAAGCAGAGACCCACGCAGCTGGTTTAAGTTTTAAGCCTTTGACGGAACCCGTTTTCCGAAGTGATAATCTCTTAAGTCCTGCTGAGGTCAGATCCTCGTCCTCGTTCACTGGATCGTAGCAAGGCTCTGGAGACACAATCACACAATGCATTTATTAACGTGCTGAAGAAGTTCAGGAAGTGATGACACCGAGCCACAAAAAACACACTCTGCTCCTAAAAAGTCTTGGGGTTCGAAGTTAGTCCTATAGTGCACAGCAAGGACACTGCACACCTGTTAGAGGGACACCAGGGTGGAAAGATGGAGAAACAAACATGTCAAGAAAGAAATAAAAGAAGATGACAGAATCACTGCAAACACAGGCAGAGGAGAGACAAAAACTATGGGATGTACCTTTGAAGAGTGGAGCTAGGAGGGAACAGAGAGGGCAGGAGCAATGGGTGAGGAGCTGCTGAGAGAAACCAGACTTACTCTTGATTAACACTGCTGGTTGAGGAGGGCGGGGGGGGGCTCCTCTGGAGAAATAAAAACAGACACCGCCACCGCAAAGGAGAAACAGAGGGGAAAGAAAAAATGACAGTAGCGAGGATAAAAAGGTTATAAAATAAAGCAGGAAGCAAATATCAGTTTGCATATGAAAGCTTTTCAAGCAATTGTTAGAAAAAAAATAAAAAGAAACGCAAACTGTTTTTGGGGATCCTTCCTCCAAAGCAACATCTACACTGCACCAACTCTTTCAACATACCAACCATAATGTCAGTGTCCAATCTGCTGTCACTCTGTCATTGACTGAACAGTGTATGAAATATAGACCAACACTAGGCAACATTAAGCTAATGTATTTTTCAGAAGTTTGTTTACATCAGTAACATTTGTAGTTAGACACTAAAACAGCTAGAAATAGAAGGTAATAATAATTCTGTCTAGTAGAATGTGAGCGTGTACCTGTAATATGTAATACATCATGATTCAATTTTAATTACGGCCTGCAGGTGTGTTTCAGGGCCACAGCAGAAACTCTGGTCTTCCTTGACTTTCAGGTCACAGCATCAGTATAAACAGCTAAAGGAGTCATGAGTCCAGTGGCACAAACCAAACAGTTTGACCGTAGTAATGATGGATACTCTCGTGTTGTGGTCTTAAAGAATGCATATCCTACAGTGTTTGTCAATTAAAATGATCGTGACTGTGACATGGGTGAAGTCTTTACTAACAGCTGTTTCACTCACTCTTAGCTCGTCCTGGCAGCTGCGTGGGCCGAGTGGCACTGAGGTCGACACCCAGAACATCAGGAGGATCCATGGGATTCCCGAGGTACAAACTGGAGAGAGCAGAGGGACAGAATTCGTCACTGTAAATGTCAACATAGTGAACGTAAACACTCTGGATGTCTTTATGTTTCAATTAGTTGGTGGACATTTAAAATAATGTGCTACTGCCATCTATTGGTGAGAGTTTATCACCACGACAACCCAGCAAAAACTAATGATGACAAAACATCTTTAGGCATTTCATGGTACTAAATCCACACAACACTAAAAGTTAAAAAAGAAAACAGAAACTGGTCCTTACTCGTCAATCCTGTCAGGGAAGCCCCAGCAGCGATGGGGGTTGCTGTCTCCGTGTCCTGTGTGGATGAAGCTGTTCTTGAGCGGCCGGCTGATGTCATGAGCTGACAAACCCGCTACTGATGTCACCACGTTTCTAGGGAACTGTCCGACCTTAAGAGTTCGCTTGTTTTGACCTCGCCACCAGTAGTTCTCTGCCCTGAGGGACGGGGACAGTGAGGATGAAATAGTATGAGCCACACTTTTTGACATGGAGAGTCAAGGGCCAAATGTGAACATCTGCAGGGGATTACCACATCAAATAATCCTACTGAACATTTATCAACCTGACAACTGAAGTAGAAATTCAAAGTCGTTTTATTATTAACGAGGAAGTCCTGTCGATTGTGATTATTTTGTGAAATGAGAAACACTTGACGTTTTTATTTCTTTTAAAACAACATTCATCAGTAGTGAGGTTGAGGAGTAGGTTTATTGAACATGTGTAAAACTCTTGTTTATACTCACCTTCCCTCTATGATGGTGATGACATCATTGATCTGGATCTGCAGCTTGTCAGCCTCGTCAAAGTCCTGCAGAGCACACATGTCTGTGGGCATGGTCTGAAAAACACAGACACAAACATACACAGGACACAATGTATTTTTAACACAGCGAACTGCTGCTCCATATTGTAAGATGGTTCTCAGGTATTTCAGCTGAGGTCATTTTTCAGTTTCATCTTTGGAGTCAGTCCACTAGGTGGAGCTAGTACCTCATTTATAGATTGATAGATTACAGATTCATCATATTTAACTCTCTGGATAGACACCAGTAGCCACCGTCGGCTACCCAAATGACTTCATCCCTACCTCCAGCAGGAACTCTCTCAGGGCGACAAAAGTAGGTCTGTCATCTGGTTTTTGTGCCCAACACTGCAGCATCACATTATAGATATCCTGCGGACAGTCCTCTGGCTTCGGGAGTCTTTCACATTCTTTATCAATCTTGTGCAGAATCTAAAATGTGAGAGAGAAAAAATGACAATAGAGTAAAGAGGACAAGGAGTGGAAAATGTTTGCAGGCCTGCCTGGAATACTTTGGCTTCAAGATTTCAAGATGTTTATGTATGTCCTGTATACAATATGTTTCCACATTATCTCTGTACATGTTTACCTGACTCCCATTGAGACCCAGCCAAGGCTCCTGACCATGTGTGAACATCTCCCAGAGAGTGACTCCAAACATCCATGTATCTGTAGCATGGGAGAAGGTTCTGGTCTTCAGGCTCTCTGGGGCGCACCTGGAGGAGGTCAGACACCAAGCTACATAAACCAATCATCTACAGTGCATGTCTGTCAGAGGTAAAGCTCACTTTGATTGAGGGATGTATTGATTCTTTAAATGGGGCAATTCTGAATTTGTAAGTGCATATTAATTTGAAACTTGAAATAAAATCAAATGGAGACGAGACAGATTTCTAACTTGTTGGTTGACTGACACAGAATTTGGCAAAGAAACCAAAAAAAGCCAAAGTAAGCCATGTTTTATAAGAATGAACAGCAGGGCTGGAATGCAGCTTTGACCAAATCAAAAGTCTCTGTGGAAACTTTCTGTAATACAAAGATTTAGGTTCACACCCTAACCTCTAAAACCATATCCAAGCACAGCTTTAGTTACTGTGTTGCTCCTTCAGTCCACCCACCATGCAAAGGGGACTTTGCGATGCTCCTGCATGACATAGTGCTCGTGGTTGTTCGGCAGCGCCCTCATCAGCCCAAAGTCACCGATCTTCACTCTGTGAGCTGAGGCCAACAGGATGTTCCTGAAGAGACAGGGTCAAACTATTAACACTTAAACAAACAGGCTTATTATACTGTATGAACTCAGAAACAGTCACTATAACCTTCTTAACACTGCATCTCAAAGATATTTGAGAGTGTTGTGGGTAATTGGGGTGCAACAACTCAAGCTTAACAGTTCCCTGCTCTCCACACACAGTAACAACAACAGTCAAGACTCATATGATGAGAAGAAAAACAACCTTTTATCAAATTGAACTCGACCCAAATAAATAAATAGTCAAATCACAACATTATTTTGGTGAATCGATACACACATAAGGAAATATACAATATATTGTAAGAGGTGCATTTTCGTGTTGCCTGTCGACCTGGATCCTCCAAAAATGGGGCAGTTGTGATGATCAGTCCTAAGCCAAGTTCAAAATGTGATCCCACCACATGAAATATCCTCCACTCTGCACACAGCCTCACAAGTACTGTAGGTCTTCGTTGTTGGCATTAAATAAATATGGAGCATATGAGGAATAAAATTAACTGTCTCGCAGGTTATAAAACTGGCAGGACTTTGATGGTCGAGAATGTAAAACCGCAGCTTAAGAAATCTTTGTGTTTCATACACCGTAACAGCCACGTGTACTATTTTATGAAAACTTTATTGGGGAAAATGACTCATTTTTACCAGCCATTAAGCTTTTTCTCAAGCATCTAAGTAGTTTCAACACTTTAGTGAAAGTGACTAATTTGGGAAAGACCAAGAATTTAGACCACCCAGTACAGCCAGCCAACAACTGACTCACTTTACTTGTGTGCCAAGTCTTCCTGTAATAGCCTGTAAATTTCTGGGTGGAGGAGAAGGAGAAGCAATATAAATAATCCAATGTACCAGTAAAAAATGTCCTGAAAGAAAAATGGGTTTTATAGAGAATTAAATAAATACAACACTTTTAAAAAATAGGTTTTAGCCTTTTTGTAGTTGCCAAGTCCACCTTAAAAAGTTCTCCATCCCTTACCTAGCTGCCAGATCCCTGTGGATGAACCTCCTCTGCTCCAGGTAGGCCATGCCACAGGCCACCTGTACAGCATACTGACACAGAGTGTGGATCAACACTGGACCCTGTGGACGAACACATCGCAAGCGCTCCAGCAGAGAACCCAGAGGAGCCAGCTCCGTCACCTACAAAACACAGAGAGAGAAAAAGAGAGGGTGGGTGAAAAGAGGAAGGAGGATTGTGGCAATAAACAGTAAAACATAATAATAAATAGCACAAGGAAAGAGAGATAGATGGGATAGTTGAGAAAAGATAAAAGTGTGATTTTGAAAATGAGAGGAAAAGAAGAGAGAATAGGAGGAAGAGATGTGTTGATGAAAAAGGAGAAACAAAAGAAAAGAAAAATAGAACTGGGCGTTGGAACTATTTGGTGAAATGACGAAATAACTAAAAGATATCACAGGGTTGAAAACAACAAGGCTGAAATGTCAGCCTTTATTTTAGCCTCCGTCCATTTGCTCCCCTCCCTTCCTGTCTCCCTCCTTTCCTCCATCTTCCCATCACTCTCTTCTGTCATGACAAAAGCCCTGAGATGCCTGACCTGATTCAAACAGACTTTAAGGTCATAAAGCTGAGAGGGAGAGTTCCTGACAGCGACATTTGTGTGAAGTATGTGTGGGTGTGAGTGAGAGCACGGGGAAGCCAAGAAAAAGCCAGTTTACTAGTGGCTGATGTACACCTGTGCATATGCTGTATGTGCTTGTGTTTATCTGTCTCTGTGTATTCCTCCCTGTGTGTGTGCGTTTCTGTGTGTCCACTACCATCTTCATTGGGTGTGTGAGCACCACACCGTAGAGGCGAATGAGGTTCTGGTGGTCCAGGGAGTGCATGGCGTTGACCTCACAGATGAAATCCTCCAGAGCGTCGGGCTGGCTGAGCACATCTGTCTTCAGACACTTCACAGCTACGTTCAGCTGGAAAACAGGACATTTCATACGATGGTTTCAAATTCATTCAGATTATTCATCAGTTTTTTATTCTTATTTGGAGAACTGAATCATTTTGACACGTATAAGTCTCCTCACCACCTTCCCCGCAGGTGTCAGCCACTCTCCTCTCTTCACGACGCCAAAGGAGCCATCTCCAAGCTTCTCAAACAACGTCAAGTCCTTCTCAGGGATGAGGCAAGTCAAGGCTTGCTGCTGCCCATCAAGGGGAGCACCACCACCGGGCTGTGCAGCCAGGACTCCCTCCCCCAGGCCCAGAGGAGGTGTGGGGGACAGCTTTCGAAAGGAGGAGGCCGGCTGGCCCTGCTGGGGGAAGTCTCCTCCATCTGGGCGCTTACCGCTAAACACCTGCAGAGGAACAGAAGAAGACATGAAGAACGAGAGAAGCAAAGTTAGAACACTGAACATCTAGACAAAGAAAACTAAATATGGTGAAACTGTGTCAAGCATGTTGAGAGTGTGTCAAATAATGGAGCAAAAGAAGAGAAACAAACATGTTTTCTGTTGTGTGCAAGTATAATGACAATAAAGAGTTGAATTGCACTGCTAATAAACAACAGTACAGACTGTAATATTGGATAACTACATGTCTGTCTGCCTTCCTCTCCTGCACACAGGATCCACCCACTGGCCCCACGGCAACTCCAGCTGGAAGTGTCTCACTATTATAGAGTGATAATATTGTATGTTTTATTCTTGAATTCATTTTGTGATATCAGTGACAACAATGGCAGCAAAGAGGAGGTTTACACTGGACATGGATTCAACCTGCTGCATGACATCTACACCACCAACTAGCACTGCTGAAGCACACACAGGCCGGTAACAGATCCTTGAGTTGCAGTGTCGCCCGTACAGCCCCGATGTGTAGTTACACTTTTTATGGAGGTGTCAGCTTTTGGTGGGGGCCTCTACATACCTACAGAGCCACTACATCCACTGTAGGTGCTGCAACTCTTCAAAGCAGAACCATAATTCACCCTTCAGTTTAAACAGTGAGCCCTACTTGCTTCCTCCTTTGCTGTTGTAAATGCATATCCAGTCACTTGGTGTATGTGCGATGTGTGTAGTGTGCGGTTGGAATGGAGAGTCAAGTCATGGCCAGCATCCAGCAGTTAGCAGAGGAACAACCAGTGATCCCCCAGATCTTATCTGGGCCTGAGGGCATATGGAGCAGCCTCTCTACCTCCAACATGCACACACACTCAAAGCCAAGCCATAAATACTGAATAATCAATTGAATTGAATAATGAATGTTCAACACATATGGTGGAATGTTTTGCAGTCAGTCAAGAACTATGCATATGTATGAAAAACACACACACACACACACACACACACACACACTTATCATTAAGGGAGAGAGAAATTTCCTGCCTCTTAGCTTAACCACTGACAACACAGCAGGAATGACTTAGCTGTTAGGAAGTACTCATTAGGGAGCACTATTAGATTTAGTGAATGTCTCAGTGTGCATGTACATGTGTGTTTGAGTGAGTCCTTAAGTGCTTTCAATTCCTCTAAATTTGAACCCACACAATGTGTGTGCTGTGCACAGAGCCATTAAGGGAAAGCTTTGTTTAGACGCCCTAAATAAGACTGTTTACCAAAATAGGAATGCACAGAAACTGGTGCTGATATCAGTTAGTGGGGATACAAAGCTAAATTAGCATATTGGTTAAAAAGTTCCCCGATTTCCCCGAACTTACATCAGTTAACATGTCACATATTAGATAAGTTTCTCTTTCTTATGGGTAAATAAGTATTGGATTTAAAGCAGTAAGTTACTGTTTGTCCAATGGAATGAATGAATGAAACAAATTTGAACTCACTATTGGCTCATAAACAAAGGTCAGTATTCAGAAATGGTATCATCAGTGAAAAAGAGGTGTCAATGAATGCCCAATGCCAAACATATTTGACTGGCCAGATATAAACAGTAGCACGGGGTGTGTGGTTTCACATTCACACTGGACCAGACATGACATAATGCTGCAGACCTTTTTAAAAACACCACCTCTCTGTGGTCGCTGTGTGGTGAGTGGGTTTCAAATAGGACGCTCGAAATTCTAAAGATTCTGACTATGGCAGAGCAGCAGCACACACACATACACACACACACAGAGAGTGGGCTGAGGAAGCAGATTACTCAAGCTGAAGGTGGTGCCAGGCGCGCAAACAGACAGGTGTAATTATAGACGACAAGCACCGTCCTCTGGGCACCATGACATCCACTGAGAGCAACCCCTACACATACACACACACACACACACACACACACTCACAAGCTTGTACTTCTATCTTTATCAGCCCTTAACCTAACCTAAACATAATTCTAACCCTAAAACCAAGTCTTAACCCCAAACAGCCCATTGAAAGTGAGAACCGGCCAAAATGTCCTCACTCCATACAGTCTGCAATTCAAACTGGTCCTCACAAAGATAGTACACACACACACACACACACACACACACACATGCACACACACTGTACTGGCAACATCTGCTTCACACACTTCATTCCTCTGAGCCATCTGTGTAGAGGTGTATCAGTCTTTGTGTGAGCTGGTGTAGAAGAGACCATCTCATTTTTCTCTCTCGAAGCTTTTATTTAAAGACAGTGAACAAGTAATAGTCATTCATGGTTATGTCTCTTTAAGGAGGAAACTTTCGGCTTCCTGAGACAACATTTCTGTGAATGCAGCGTGCTCTGAATCGGTGTGTCACCAGCTCTTGTGACTTGGCTCGTGTGTTTATGTGTTTGTCTGTGTCTGAATGTGGACGTGCTCATCCTCGTGTGAAGGGTCAAGCTGTCTTGTTCTCCAGAGGAATGTTCCCTACAGATGCACACACACATCTGTGAGGAACAGATGTGTGTTCCCTCAAAAACAGTCACAGAACCAATCAAAGAGTCACTTAGACCTCTTTCCCAAAACTGTTGCCTCTTGACAGGATGCTGTGTCACACTGGTCACTATGGTTGATACTATGTGACCACCACCACCACCACTACCAGTAAAATCCTTGCAAGAAGTATGAGGAACTGCTTTTAATAATGTAACACCCAAGCAGTACTGAGTGCTTCAGAAACATAAAGCTGCATTTTAGGAGATATGTCTATGTTAATGAATGTGAATGTCTATGTGAATTCTTGTCTTCACATAAAAAACTGTTTTGTTCAGCAAGGTGTTGCAAAATGTGATCATATCATGTGTGGAAGGGTAAACTGTGGTCAAATTGTGGAGTTTTCTACCATGTATTGTTCAGGAGTTATTGTGTTCACATGAATGTATCCACACTGTGACAGACAGACAGACAGACAGACGCCACCCTGGCGACATAATGTCAAGCATACCATGTACCATAATAAATGAGTCCTGTGTGTGTGTATGTTGTGCCTATCTATATCCGTCACCTTGCTCATCCAGGACTTGCGCTTGCACATGGCTTTCCTCCTTTTCACAGCTTCCCACAGTCGTCTCTGCCCTTTATCAAGAGAAGAAAAGAAAAGAAAACATGAGTACAATGATGGTCAGTGGTAAAACATGTACAAGCTGATGAAGACTGCAGCTGCTTCTTCTGCTACGTGTCTTCTTGCATTGCCAGGTCTCATAGGGCCAGTTAAGAGTAGTTACAGAAGGTATACTATATAGAATTTCAAGTAATCTTTCATAATTGGAAGAAAATTCAGAGCAGCTAGCGTAGAAGGGAAAGGGAGGAGAAAACATGAAGGACAAACTCATACTATATGTGAGAAGAGACTGGAGATAAAGAATGAAGAAAACAAAACAGCAAATACAAAGAAAAGGGAAAAGATGGAGAACAGGAGAGATGTGAGTGAATATATGAACAGGAGAAGTGGGTGTAATTAGTCATAAGCGGCTCTGAAGCTGAGGCCCTGAGGGTTTTCAGTAACGGGATTTAGAATATTACCACTGCCATCCACTTCACACACACAAACCGCAGACAAAAGACTTGTCCCCTCCTTTTGTACCTAATTACCAGTTGTGACTTTAAATGATATTAGGGGTATTAGTGATGGAGGATTTGCTCCAGCTCTGCTGAGGGTGAGCCAAATGACACACTGCCATTATAGCCGACAACAAAGTACGACTTCAGGCTATGTATAAATGTAGAATTTTACCATATATAGTCATACGAAAGCAAATTGAAGGAAGGATACTGTTCATCTATCTCAGATTTTGATCTCTCTGCTCCGTATGCGCATAAAAATGTAGAAAAAACATCACAGTATAGTAAGGCATAAAACTGCATGGTATAGTAAAACATAAGAATATCAAAAAACGTCACAGTGTAATAAGGCATTAAAAACATCATAATAAAGTAGGTCATGAGAACATAGTATATTGAGGCAAAAAATGTAAAAAACAAACGTCATAGTATAGTAAGGCATACAAATGTCAAAAAACGTCATAGTATAGTAAGGCATAAAAATGTCAAAAAACGTCATAGTATAGTAAGGCAAAAAAAGTCATAGTATAGTAACACGTAAAAATGTCAAAGAACGTCATAGTATAGTAAGGCAAAAAATGTCAAAAAACGTCATAGTATAGTAAGGCATAAAAACGTCATAGTATAGTAAGGCATAAAAACGTCATAGTATAGTAAGGCATAAAAACGTCATAGTATAGTAAGGCATAAAAACGTCATAGTATAGTAAGGCATAAAAACGTCATAGTATAGTAAGGCATAAAAACGTCATAGTATAGTAAGGCATAAAAACGTCATAGTATAGTAAGGCATAAAAACGTCATAGTATAGTAAGGCATAAAAACGTCATAGTATAGTAAGGCATAAAAACGTCATAGTATAGTAAGGCATAAAAACGTCATAGTATAGTAAGGCATAAAAACGTCATAGTATAGTAAGGCATAAAAACGTCATAGTATAGTAAGGCATAAAAACGTCATAGTATAGTAAGGCATAAAAACGTCATAGTATAGTAAGGCATAAAAACGTCATAGTATAGTAAGGCATAAAAACGTCATAGTATAGTAAGGCATAAAAACGTCATAGTATAGTAAGGCATAAAAACGTCATAGTATAGTAAGGCATAAAAACGTCATAGTATAGTAAGGCATAAAAACGTCATAGTATAGTAAGGCATAAAAATGTCAAAAAACGTCATAGTATAATAAGGCAAAAAAACGTCATAGTATAGTAAGGCAAAAAAAAGTCATGGTATAGTAAGGCAAGAAAAAATCATAGTATAGTAAGGCAAAAAATGTCAAAAAACGTCATAGTATAGTAAGGCAAAAAATGTCAAAAAACGTCATAGTATAGTAAGGCAAAAAATGTCAAAAAACGTCATAGTATAGTAAGGCAAAAAATGTCAAAAAACGTCATAGTATAGTAAGGCAAAAAATGTCAAAAAACGTCATAGTATAGTAAGGCAAAAAATGTCAAAAAACGTCATAGTATAGTAAGGCAAAAAATGTCAAAAAACGTCATAGTATAGTAAGGCAAAAAATGTCAAAAAACGTCATAGTATAGTAAGGCAAAAAATGTCAAAAAACGTCATAGTATAGTAAGGCAAAAAATGTCAAAAAACGTCATAGTATAGTAAGGCAAAAAATGTCAAAAAACGTCATAGTATAGTAAGGCAAAAAATGTCAAAAAACGTCATAGTATAGTAAGGCAAAAAATGTCAAAAAACGTCATAGTATAGTAAGGCAAAAAATGTCAAAAAACGTCATAGTATAGTAAGGCAAAAAATGTCAAAAAACGTCATAGTATAGTAAGGCAAAAAATGTCAAAAAACGTCATAGTATAGTAAGGCAAAAAATGTCAAAAAACGTCATAGTATAGTAAGGCAAAAAATGTCAAAAAACGTCATAGTATAGTAAGGCAAAAAATGTCAAAAAACGTCATAGTATAGTAAGGCAAAAAATGTCAAAAAACGTCATAGTATAGTAAGGCAAAAAATGTCAAAAAACGTCATAGTATAGTAAGGCAAAAAATGTCAAAAAACGTCATAGTATAGTAAGGCAAAAAATGTCAAAAAACGTCATAGTATAGTAAGGCAAAAAATGTCAAAAAACGTCATAGTATAGTAAGGCAAAAAATGTCAAAAAACGTCATAGTATAGTAAGGCAAAAAATGTCAAAAAACGTCATAGTATAGTAAGGCAAAAAATGTCAAAAAACGTCATAGTATAGTAAGGCAAAAAATGTCAAAAAACGTCATAGTATAGTAAGGCAAAAAATGTCAAAAAACGTCATAGTATAGTAAGGCAAAAAATGTCAAAAAACGTCATAGTATAGTAAGGCAAAAAATGTCAAAAAACGTCATAGTATAGTAAGGCAAAAAATGTCAAAAAACGTCATAGTATAGTAAGGCAAAAAATGTCAAAAAACGTCATAGTATAGTAAGGCAAAAAATGTCAAAAAACGTCATAGTATAGTAAGGCAAAAAATGTCAAAAAACGTCATAGTATAGTAAGGCAAAAAATGTCAAAAAACGTCATAGTATAGTAAGGCAAAAAATGTCAAAAAACGTCATAGTATAGTAAGGCAAAAAATGTCAAAAAACGTCATAGTATAGTAAGGCAAAAAATGTCAAAAAACGTCATAGTATAGTAAGGCAAAAAAATATCAAAAAACGTCATAGTATGGCAAGGCAAAAAAACGTCATAGTATATTGAGGCAAAAAAATGTCAACAAACGTCATAGTATAGTAAGGCAAAAAAACGTCATAGTATAGTAAGGCAAAAAAAATGGCAAAAAACGTCATAGTATAGTAAGGCAAAAAATGTCAAAAAACGTCATAGTATAGTAAGACATAAAAATGTCCAAGAACAACATAGTATAATATGGCAAAAAAAGGTCATAGTATAGTAAGGCAAAAAAATACATAAAAATGTCCAAGAACAACATAGTATAATATGGCAAAAAAAAGGTCATAGTATAGTAAGGCAAAAAATGTCAAAAAACGTCATAGTATAGTAAGACATAAAAATGTCCAAGAACAACATAGTATAATATGGCAAAAAAAGGTCATAGTATAGTAAGGCAAAAAAATGTCAAAAAACATCATAGTAATGTAAGTGATAAAAATGTCATAATATAGTAAAGAAAAAAAAATCATAGTATAGTAAGGCAAAAAATGCCAAAAAAAGTCATAGTATAGTAAGGCAAAAAAAATGTGAAAAAACGTCATAGTATAGTAAGGCATAAAAACGTCATAGTATAGTAAGGCAAAAAAGGTCAAAAATCGTCATGATATAGTAAGGCATAAAAATGTGAAAAAACATCATAGTATAGTAAGGCAAAGAAAAGTCATAGTATAGTAAGGCAAAAAAACATCAAAAAACGTCATAGTATAGTAAGGCAAATGAGGTCAAAAAATCGTCATGATATAGTAAGGCATAAAAATGAGAAAAAACATCATAGTATAGTAAGGCAAAGAAAAGTCATAGTATAGTAAGGCAAAAAAATGTCAAAAAACGTCATAGTATAGTAAGGCAAAAAATGTCAAAAAAATGACATAGTACAACAAGGCAAAAAAAATGTCAAAAATCGTCATATTGTAGAAAGGCAAAAAAACGTCATAGTATAGTAAGGAAAAAAAAGTCATAGTATAGTAAGGCAAAAAATGTCAAAAAACGTCGTAGTATTGTAAATCATAAAAATTTCATAGTATAGTAAGGCAAAAAAGGTCGAAAAATGTCACAGTATTGTAAGGCATAAAAATGTCATAGTATAGTAAGGCAAAAATCATCATAGTATAGTAAGGCAAATAATGTCAAAAATCGTCATAGTATAGTAAGGCATAAAAATGTGAAAAAACGTCATAGTATAGTAAGGCAAAAAAAAGTCATAGTATAGTGAGGCAAAAAAATATCAAAAAACGTCATAGTATAATGAGGCAAAAAAACGTCATAGTATAGTAAGGCAAAAAATGTCAAAAAATGTCATAGTATAGTAAAGAAAAAAAAATCATAGTATAGTAAGGCAAAAAATGTCAAAAAAAAGTCATAGTATAGTAAGGCAAAAAAAATGTGAAAAAACGTCATAGTATAGTAAGGCATAAAAACGTCACAGTATAGTAAGGCAAAAAAGGTCAAAAATCGTCATGATATAGTAAGGCATAAAAATGTGAAAAAACATCATAGTATAGTAAGGCAAAGAAAAGTCATAGTATAGTAAGGCAAAAAAATGTCGAAAAACGTCATAGTATAGTAAGGCAAAGAAAAAGTCATAGTATAGTAAGGCAAAAAAAACATCATAGTATAGTAAGGCAAAAAATTGTCGAAAAATGTCATGGTATTGTAAGGCATAAAAATGTCATAGTATAGTAAGGAAAAAAACGTCATAGTATGGTAAAGCAAAAAATGTGAAAAAACGTCATAGTATAGTAAGGCAAAAATCGTCATGTTATAGTAAGGCAAAAAATGTCAAAAATAGTCATAGTATAGTAAGGCATAAAAATGTCCAAAAACGTCAAAGTATTGTAAGGCATAAAAA